TTTTTTATATCATTTCTCAAATGTGTACATTTACAACACAGGTCCCTCCTCAGGCCACATGCCAGAAAGTGCTCCTTGCCATTCGTTCTCAGTTGTTGTTGCTCTTTTCCCTTCGTTAACTGCAAGATAAACTGTCCCCTTACACTTTTTTCTGGTATCTATGTCATGCATTTGGTGATACTTCTAACTCTGTTGATTGCCTGGACAACCAGAAAGTTTTAGGTTGCTGTAGGATTTAGTCTTGATCCCCCAATTTAAGATTGTAGAGAAGGAAACTTATTCTTTAAAAAAAACAAAAACAAAAACAAAGAAGGAAAGGAAGGAAGGACGGAGAGAAGGAAGAAAGGAAGGAAGGAAGGAGGGAGGGGGGAGAGAAGGAAGGAAAAGAGGAAGGAGGAGGAAGGGAGAGGGAAGGAGGGAAGAAGAGAAAGAAAGAAGGAAAGAGGGGGAGGGAGGAACAGAGGGAAGGAGGAAGGAAGGAAGGAGGGAGGGAGGGAGGGTGGAAGGAAGGAAGGAAGGGAAGGAAGAAAGAAAGGAAGGAAGAAGGGAGGGAGGGAGGGAGGGAGGAGGGAGGGAAAGAAAGGGGCAGGAGAGGCGGAGGATGCCCTAAGCCTCCACCTGCTGATTTAGGTTTAAGGAAAAACTTAGCTCACTAAAGGCTTTCTAGGGTCAATGGAAAATGTGGATATAACTAAAACAAAGTGTGTGAGGTGTGAAATTTTGGAGATAGAATACTACTGACACACAGTTATTCTGGGGCCCTTGCCTAGGTTACTCAGGTATGAACACCTGCATGGGATCAGGTTTCCATGGGAAGCAGGTTTCCATAGGGATGCGTCATTTCATTTCAGGTAGTTTTCACAATCTGTTGGGAAGCCTGGCTTCACACAGAAAACCACTGTTCTTTAAACATGTACAAAGAAACACTATGACAAATATGTCTGAAGGAAATGGTTCCTCATACTAGCTTGTCAAACCAAGGACTTCAAGGAATGATTGATTGGTGTTTCTAGTTACAGCCTGAATCAAGTTAACAGCTGGTATAAGACAACATCAGGATGAAATAAAGAATCATGAGAAAAACTAAACGAAAGCGTGGGTGAGAGCCTTTGCGCTCCAATCTTGACTTAAAGTATCTCAAAGGCTCTCTTTACCCCTTCTTTCCTTCATTCTTTAATTGTTTTACTACATATTGCAGTAAATTTAATGTAACTCAGGGTCTCAGCTCACAGGTGGGCTGTGATATTTTTTTCCCCAATACAATCTTTCTTATAAACGAGAGCTGTCAACTACTCACCAAGTAATTCACCGTTCAAATGTCTTCAGTTTACTGCCTGCGCATGCAGACCACTGGCATAGCTACCTCAGGGTGTCTGTCCATTTCTTTGCATCCTCTACGCATTCATAATCCTGTCAAGGACTCCAGTCTGTTGATAAATTCTATTAATATGGTAAATAATTGAAAACGTTAGTAAACGTTTTGAAAATCACTATTCAGCATCCGCAGACCAAGACTTGGATTAGGATTTAGAGTGACACTTCTAATCCTTTAAATTGATCCCACCTGTAGCAGAGTTAATGCTGACCTAAATGCAATGACCCAGAGATTAACAAACAATTAGAGTCCTGTGGATAAATCCGTGCTCCACAGACTATTGCCTTCTTTTACCTTTCAAAGTCAGAAACGAACTCTCAGATTTTGCCTCTGTGTTTTTCCTTTTTCCATTCTGTCTAATAACCAGCAATCGCCCTTTCTCCAAGACAGTTCTAAATGCCAAAACATTCATCAGCTGTGATTCCAGCTCAGCATATAAAAGGTGATGCAGGCTGGCTCCCTGCAAAATTCAAAGTAGGTGAATTTTGTCTCCTTCTCTTATTCCCCTTAAGTGCCTTCACTGCCTTTCCTTCCAAGAGAGACTCTCTACTCCCCTCTACACCTTTGAACAGAGACATCATTTCCCCCATACTTTAGATGCATTCCTTAATCAGTCCTTCTCTGTCCTGGGCATCATTCACTCAGGGCACTGTTCTCAATTCCCGAGGTGACAGCTGAGGTGTTAAGGGCTAAAAATGACTTACATTAAATGAGAAATGTGTTTTAATAATAGTTTTATTGAGATATAATTTATCTACCAAAAAAGTATACAATTTAGGGGTTTTTTTAAGTACATTCCAAAGCTTATGCAACCACCACCACTTTCGAATTCCAGAATATTTTCATTATCTCCACAAAGAGATTTAAAAATTCTTGTTTAAAAGTCACTCCCCATTTCTCTCCTGCTCCTAGCCCCAGGCCACCACTAATTTACTTTCTCTATGGATTTTCCTATTCTGGACATTTCATATAAATGAAATCATACAATATGTGATCTTTAGTAAGTGGCTTCTTCCACTTAGCATATCGTTTTCAAGGTTCATGCATGTTCTAGCATGTATCAGTACTTCATTTCTTTTGCAGCCAAATAATATTCCACTTTATTGGATATGCCACATTTTATCTATCAGTTGATGGAAATTTAGGTTGTTTCCACCTTGGGCTATTGTGAATATTGCTTTTATTACCTTTGTGTAAAAGTTTTTATATGGACATATTGTTTTTATTTCTCTTTGGCATATACCTAGGAAATGGCTGTGTCATATAATAACTCTATATTTAACATTTTTTGAATCAGCAAACTGTTTTCCAATGTATATGCACCATTTTGCATTCTCATCAGCAACATATGAGGGTTCTTTTTACCTACATTCTTGTCAACACGGGTTATTATCTATCAGTCTTTTTATTTTTAGTATGATAGGCATTTTATATGTACGTTATCGTATTTTATATTTATAACAACCATGAAATAATATGTTATATTACCCATTATATTACATATTCTTTCCATTTTGTAAATGAGATATTACCCATTCTTTCCATTTTGTAAATGAGAATGCCAAGACAGAGATTAAATTAGGCAATAATAATATTTACTAAGTATCGTATTACAATAATAATGAGATGATATGACACGCGTTTCTGGAAGCCCTATCTCCTTTGATCTTCACAGTGACCCCATGAGATGTCCAGAGAGGTTAAAGTAACTTACCAAAAATCACACAGCCACTGGTCAGTAGAGACAGAATTTGAACTCAGACATTCTGATTCTAGTATTTAATAGAGCCAAAAAGTTTAAACCTAAGACTATTTGGCATCAAGGAAGCTCACGTTTATCCTTGATATATTCCACTAATGCACCTCTTCTGCTACCCCTCCAAAGACTACTTGCACTTTAATAGGGTTTCCAGAAACACACCATGACTACCCAAAGGGAACAATCCCTAATTGTAGAATTTCGGGTGACCTGATGGAAATACTGGTGCAAGTAGGGGCCGGTTACCATCCTCTATCTACTACTGCATGGTGCCATGGTGTAAAATACATGTACCTAGCATGTATTTGTAAGAAGGTTCAGATGAGGACTAGGATGTTCAAGTGACCACCATTCAATGAATGCTCCAAAATCCTGAATAGACATGAGATTCTAAATGTATAGGTAGAAGTCACTGGGAATTAGCACATAAATAAAATTTCTAAAGTGAATTTGCTTCTTTTGATTAGAGTTCCACAAACACTTGTTGCTCTATGGGCTTTCCATATACTAACTCAATGGATCATCACAACTGTCCCATGGGGCAGGTGTTAGTATTATTATCATCCATATTTTATAGATGAAAAACGGAGGCACAAAAGGATTAAGTAACTTGCCCAAAAGCATACAGCTAGTTTGTGGTGGAGCCAGCTATGAAAATAAGCAGTCTAGCTTTAGAGTCAGTGCTCTTAACCACTGCCTTTTAAAAGAAATCTCAGTATGAGCTCATTGGATTTATCCATACATTCAAAAATTCCCACTGGATCTCTAAGTTTTAGTTACAGTATAATTAAAGATGAGTTTAGAACAGAAATCTAAAACCATTTGGGGTCCTTATGAATCTAAAATTATACAGATACTTCAAATCCATTCATGAGTACAAATGTAAAAATTATTCCTACACACCTTTTGGAACTGCTATGTCAGAAACATCAGCACACTGTATGATTAGGTGGTGACCTCAGTGTTATCATGAACTTACAGCACCAGAATGTTCATGGATTCTACTAGATGTTGTTGGAACTCGTATCAGTTCCTGTCTATGTTACCAGTATTGAAGCCTAACAATTTACAGAATTTCAGCATCTCTGGATGATCCTTACTTCCTAAGGCGCCATGAAATGAAAGAATCCAAAATAGTAACCTCTCCCTCCACAAAACTGTGAAGGCAGACGCATCACTTTAGCTTCCCTCTTACCATTAGCTGCAAAGAAAAAATAATATAGCCCTTTTGCATTTAATGATTTTTTTACTACTGAACACTACAAGGAACTCGTAATTACATGCATCATGGGAAAGGGCCTTACATAATATTAGCCTAGGATCCTTGTATTCCTTTGGAGACTAAGATGCATGGCTGGGGCGTGAGCTATAAAAATAGGTTCAGAATGGTGTGCTTCTAGTCAATCATCCAGCATAAGGCTTGGACAAGTAGATCCTTGCAGCCAAGAAATCACATGAGAACCTGGGAAACAGGCGGGGTGTTGGACGAAGATAAATTAGAATGAGACAGGAAAACTACAAGAAAGGATATGAAACAAACTTACATATTTTGCTTGATTCCAAGGAGGGTTCTGAACTGTGATTCTCCACCTTCCTTTATACTTTTTACCTAACCCTATCTGACAGGACGTTCTTTTTCTAATTCAGTAGTAAGAACAAAATTCTCTGTCTGTTTATAGTACTCGACAAGCAGTTATAGTACTCCACAAGACATATATTGGTTCATAAAAGTAGAATAGCTTTGGGCAACAGGCAAAATGATAATTTCCAATTATTGAGCATCTCCTTTCAATTGGCACTGTTAGCATTACTTCAGTTATTTCTCATAGCATCCCTAAGAGGTAGGGAAAATTCTTTTTTTAAGGAAAAAAAAAAGAATGCTTCACGAATTTTCGTCTCATCCTTGCTCAGGGACCGTGCTAATCCTCTCTGCATTGTTCCAATTTTAGTATATGTGCTGCCAAAGCGAGCACGGTAGGGAAAATTCTTATTTTCACTTTAGAGATAGAGAAAGAAAACAAAGCACAGGGAGTTTACGTGCTTTGGCCAGAGTCACACAGATGATAAATGGTGGACCCGTGATGCAAATTCAGGTAGTATGGTTTGGTTCCACGGCCTGACGCTGAATAACTTTGCTATACAACTTTAGGACGCAAAGTAGTTATTTAAGTGTATTATGCTTGTATATTTACAGTATACGTTATTTCGTTTACGTGTGTGTGTGTGTGTGTATTTATGGCATTATAAATGGGTTTGCTTTTCTTCAGTTTAGACTGGAGAGGTGACCCAGCTTTCTGCCACATTTAGCCCGGAAAACGTGACCAGAATAAAGCTCGGTGCTGCCCTCTAGTAGTCAGCTCCCACACTGAAATTAAAGCCACGGCTGTAATGACACTACATGGCCGCAGGATGTCGGTATTTTACCATTATTGTCAAACTCCTCCACGATCAAATTTTTTTTTTTTTTTTTTTTTTATTTTAGACGTTAATACGGGTTGCTTAATTGTTGTAAAAATACGTTAGAAAATTCAGAACAGTGAAAAATAGAAAAACGTTTTGTTTTTATTAAATATTGTGTTTTTCCAAAGTTATATTCAAACCAGTCATACAATTTTGTAAACTTTTTTTTTTAATTTGACATTAAAACATACCTATGTTCTCACAAAGGGCACAGGACTTGGAGTCAAACTGACCTGCTTTCAAACCCCATATCCATCTTCTCTAGCTATGTGACCTGAGGTTAATTAATTTTCCTAAAGCCTTAGGTTTCCTCAAATGAAAGAAATTATGATAAACAGAACTATTTCCCAGCACTGTTGTGGGGATTAAAAAGAATGATGCATACTAAGTGTCTCACACAGTGGGTGCTCAAAACATGGCATTTCTTTAGACCATGCTAATCTCATGGCACTCTTGTTTTTGGAGGCTCCACTCTACATTTTATCACATATACTTTGACATCTACAGTCATATCCTATGTTCAATAAATATATTTTTTGCTAAAAATTTGAGACGATTTTAAAATTTCACCTTTGAAATTTATTATCAGCTAAGCTTCTTAGCAGAGATTATATATACTAAAGAATTCTTACAAACTGATACAATCTAACCAGCCATTTTTCCAATGTGTCAAAATTGTTCTGAATACAAAATACAATAATCTATAAAAAGTGATGAGTTACATTTTTGACATTTACTTAAAAATTATAGACTTTGATTTTACAGTTATTTTCATATTTTGAAGGAATAACTTTTCTCAAGCTTCAAACCCCTTTGGCAGATCCTTGAGAAGTTCATAGGCCTTAGGCATTGTGCTTGTAGTGTGCAATGGATTAAAATAAAAGAATCTGGTTAAAATTATTATCATTTCACTTATACATTATTTTATGGTTACAGAATATTTAATTTTGTATATGTTCCAACATGTACTCAATTGTTCCCCTAGAATTATATATTTAGGTTGTTTACAAATTTTTCCTATTATAAATGGTGCTGCAAAGCATATCTTCAAATACAAACCTCTTTTCAGCATATTGGGATTATTAATTTAGGATAGATTCCCAGAAGTAAAATGACTGAGTCAGAGTATACGAATATCAGTAATGTTCTTAACATATATTGTCCAATTACTTTCCAAAATATTGTGACCAATTTATGCTCTTACCAATGGTCAATAAAGTAAAAGTTTCCATTTTATTACCCTGTCACCAGCAAGTTGTCTCAAATTTACATTTATCAATTGTAAAAAAAAAAGATATTTGGTATTAACATCTATTTTTCTATTACTATTGGTTATTTAAAAATTATTTTCTCATAATTTTATATAAGTCATACGCATTTTCTGCTTTGTAAATCTTCTCTTTGTCTCTTTCCCTGCTTCTAAGGTCCAGTGGTAGACAGAGGATCCCCCAAAATTAGTGTTTTGCACATCTTATGCAAAAGCAGGTAGTTAATAATACTGAACAGTGCTTATAAACTATGCTAATACTATGGATTGGCTTACTTCACTTCCATTCCACCCTGGAATCTTCTGTAACTTCGATTTGGCATGTGGATTAGATGTCACCAAATAGATGTACTTATATGAAGTTTGGCCATTAAAATTGGGCTGAAAAACTAGAAAGAGTAGTCCTATCTGGATATATGAGGTTTTCTACAGTGTTCATTTTCCACCTTCCTAGGTATCAAGAGGAAGTGAGGTGCTTCCTCTACCAAAGTCAACAACAGCAGCATCCTGATCTGGTTTCTAATCGCTTGGTCACACCTATTGCATTGTCAGAAACAGCTGCAGCAGCTGCAGAGGTGAAAAGAGCAGGTTCTTGATTCTGGCAGAGCTCTACAGGTGACATCAAAGGTAATAATCCCTTAAAGTTTCAGTTCTGTGTTTTTCTGGAACAATGCTTGTGAAATAGACCTTTAGACCTTCCAGCAATCCTGTAAGTACTCAGTACCCTCTTTTAAATTCCTTCCCATAAATTGTTAGGAACTTTTTGGAACATATTCTAACAGCATATATTACAACATAAAAATATGTATACACTTTGATCTAGCAATTATACTTGCAAAATTCTCTTGCACAGAAATAAAGTATTAGCATGCATTGTCACCAAGATATTTACTGCAATTGTTATTTTAGTGGCAGAAAACAACCTAGAGAAAACCGGAATGCTCACCAATAGGGGGTGTGGTTACATTCATTACAGAACATCCATGCTACGGCATACTATATAGATCAAACTAAAAAGTAAAAAAATTAAAAAAAAAAAACAGAAAATGTTATCCATTCATTAATCTGAAAGTATGCCATGATACATTTAAGGAAATGATCTGTATAATTCCATTTTTGTCATTAAAGAGGTGAGGGCATTTCTTTCTGCTTAAGAAACTTAGAGTGGTTTCTGTTTTTGCCCTGAACCCTGACTGATACACACACTCTCATCATCATCATCATCGTCAGTAAACATTATATATCTGAGGTGGTGCAAACAGCTGGTTTCTAATCCAGTTATGAATCTCATAAATAAATATACAGGAAAATTCTTGGAGGCCCAATACTTATTAAAATATTGTACCACACAAGGGGCGTCTGCTTTAAGATAGAGCAACTTGTAGCAAACTAATGCTGTTGCTGAGAACAACTAGAAAAATTGAGTGAAATACTCCCCCAAAAGTTCCTTTTTGAAGGCATCAGAGAGCCAGGGCTTGAGAGGTAAGAACCCAGAAAGAAGGGAAGCTCATCAAAATAGCACAACTTTCTGCATGTTGTTTTGCTCTTGAGGTATTTCTCAATTCTTGGTCCAGAAACTGGGTAGACAATCCCTCCCATGAGGCAGAGAAGTCAACAGACCTTTAGATAATATCACAGGACTCAGAGTACAAAAATTGGAGTTTAAGGTCAGCCAAGGCCAGCCAGGATTTGAACAGTCATGAAACTGCAGAGAGAAGCAGGACAGACAAGTGAGCCTGACATGTAGCACAAGTTTTCCACTCCAGGAAATTGCCAATTAAGTTGCACAGGGCAAAAGATTAGAAGCCCTGCAGAGTGGCTAAAAAGTAGACTGGAGTTTCGGGAGGATTCACAGAGCTGAAGAGACAATAATTGGAATTCATAACTTCTCAAGGAGGAGTGTCCTTGGGAAACATCTATCCCTGGTTCTCATTTGGGACCCCTGGAGAGCTATATCTTAGCAATGGAGTAAACTAGAAATAGGTTGAGTCTAGCAAATACTGCAAACCAGCCTCAGGTAAGCTCAGTGGCTGAAAGGATTAAGATAATTTATCCTTCCACTGCCTAGCAAAAAACCGGGTGAATCACCTCTGGAGCACATAAGATCATCTAGAGTCTATATACTTTTTTTGGCACAAAGTCTGGCACTCAGTAAAAAATTAACTAATGTACCAACAAACAGCACCAAGAAGAAGAAGAAAAAAAAAGCAGGCAACAGGAATAGACTTAATGACCAAGTTATTGTGGTTATATGACATGGACTATAAATATTCAAGAAAATGAAGGGCAATGTGGAGAATTTCACCAGAAAATTAGAATCTGTAAAAAATAACCACATGAAAATTCTGAAAATGAAAAATACAATAAATGAAATTAATAATTCAATAGTGGGCCACACAAAGTATAAGGTTCACCGCTACTTTGTAGGATATTCTAAGTACCTGCTATGTTATTCCCTCTAGAAGACTTCCTTCCTCCACTGTTCGTAGCATTTGGGGACTGCCAATCAATATGCCCTCCGCTCCTCTGATCAGGAAAGTGGCGGGCACTAGATCGAAATCAAGACAATTGGATTCACCTAAGAATTTGAATCTTGAACTAAGCAATGCAAAGATGAAAAACACAGCTGATTCATAGTGCCAATGGCGCCCTGGTGATATGGTTTGGCTATGTGTCCCCACCCAAATTTCAACCTTGAATTGTAATAATCCCTACGTGTCAATGGTGGGACCAGGTGGAAGTAATTGGATCATGGGGGTTGTTTTCCCTATGCTGTTCTCTTGATAATGAGTGAGTTTCATGAGATCTGATGGTTTTATAAGCGTCTGGTATTTCCCCTGTTTGCTGTCATTCTCTGTCCTGCCCCCCTGTGAAGACGTGCCTTCTGCCATGATTGCAACTTACCTGAGGCCTCCCAAGCCATGTAGAACTGTGAGTTAATTAAACTTCTTTTCTTAATTAAACCTTTTTACTCACATTAGTAATGTGAGAAGGGCCTAATGCACCTGGAAAAGGAGCTCAATAGTTCCCTCCATATAGATCCTGGATGATGTCATGATTTCCATCTTTTTTGAGGCCTGCTGGTTTAATTATTCCTTCCACAAGCTAACTCGTTGTCTTCCACATAAATTCCTTGGCTAGCCAGTGTATTAATTTGTGTAAGTAATACATCAACCCCCAAATTTCAGTGGCTTTAAAATATAAGTCTATTTCCCATTCATGTCCTACCCAGAGCGAGTCAGCAGT